TGGAGAATATGCACAGTGATGTTAGGGTGTAAAGGTTTAAGGTAAATCTGTTTGTTCATTTGAAATGATTTGACAGAACATTATTCAACCACACACAAAAGTAGAATGTTTTGATTCAGAAACAACAAATTAGTCATAGGTCAAACAGAGTCATTATTTTATAAAAACTTAATAGTTCACTTGCTTTTGCAAAGAAAAGAACCTTCATACAATTGATGTGTAATCTTCAATTGCAGAGGCATAATGTGTGGACTCTATCCTATTGGTTCTTAAATTGAGCTTCTAACCAATCACATTTGAGAATTTTATTTCAGTTTAATTCACTAATGTGATTGTATTGATTGATATAATTGAAAGAGTGCTAAGAATAAAATGACATGTTAATGAAGCAAAAAGTAAATAAGTTATATTTCTTGTTTTCTACTTAGTCATTCAAAAGACTGTCCAAACTGTAGAGCAAAGGCTCAACTCAAGTCTGCTGTACCAGTGAAGGTGAGTGAATCCTTTACACCCTAACACCCTAATGATTCAGGGATGATATTGCAAGAAGAAATTAGATGCTTGTCACTCTTAGGGTTCAAAGGATTAACAGTTTAAGGGGTGATTAGAAAAGAGCCTCAAGGTTATTTTTAGAGGAAAACCAACTTTTTCTCTCTCTTTTGCAAGGCAGTACCAGACAATTTGAAAGGAGAATCTTATAGTTCATCATAAGTCACTTCTGGCTTTTTCTCTCCACCTCTTCAATTTTGCTTGTGCAGTTAGTGTAAGTGAATTGTATCCTACAAGACACTCTCATGTTATTTAAGGGTGATGTTTTGACAAATTGTGACATCCCAAAATAGGGGTGGGTTTTAAACACTGTACTTGAGATGTATTTGTTTGTCTGTCAAGACCAGTCTGTGTCAGGTCTAGATGCATTCTATTCAAGTTTAACATGCATATTTTTGCACTCTTATCTGTGCACTGCACCATAAACCTACTCAGTGCCTCAATTCTTATTCACATGTAAACAATTTGTTCTTCATTTCATGTCCTGTATTTTGCGTATCAGAAAGAATAATTTAATGGTAATGACATTATGGGAAAGTGTTAAGCTTTTTGTTTGACCTTCCGGGTGCTAGACAATACAATAAACAAAGTAGCAGAAGAAGTTCTTTCTCCAGAGGAACTTGAAGAAAGGCAGCTAAAATTTAGGTGAGCAGTGATTTGAAACAGAAACCTTCAATTTTGCTGTTGCAGTTAAGTTTTGTATTTGATCTTCATCAAATTCTGGTGAACTGGACAAATCTTTCTTATGACAGTTTTCTTCTCTTTCTAACATAATTAAAACAAATAATTAACAATAATTATATTTCACCTCAGTGGAGGTGAACAATGGTGGATATATATTTACCTTGCCTCCTTGTGGCTCAGTTAATATCCACTAATATTCACCAACACTTTGGTGAAAAATTGGTTTGATATATACCATACAGAAACCAAAAAAAATGGTTCATTTCTGTCAATACAACAAAAAAGTGGTTGGAAATTGATTTTGTCCCTTTGCCTGCTTGGCAGTGAATAGTACTTGCTGATCACTTCTGAACAAATGAATCAGCGTACATGAAATGCACTCTTCACCTGTGTGGTATTTTCTGACAAGTGATATTTGTGAATATAAGATTCTTTGTGAACTGCTGTGCACAAAAGATTAAAAAAGCAAAATCAAATTTACCAGTATTACTTTTTCATGTCATTGCACTTTTGTTTATCAGGGAAACTGCATTTAATATTTCTTGTCAATTCTCTGAAACTTATCAGATATTTTTGTCTTCAAGATTGTTCTTGTTTGTTTGTTTTTAATTTTTAGCTGCTTTAGCCTTTTGCATGTGACTGGTAGTGTATTAAGTAGCTTTTTGTGATGCTTTCAGTGCTACA